CGCCGAAGCCGCTCGGCTGCCGCCGGGGCGCTGCCGCGGCAGGCGGCGGCGCGGGCTGGTATACAGGCGCAGGCCGTGGGGGCGGCGGCGGCGGCGCCGCAACGACCGGCGCCAGCGGTGCGGGCGGCGGCGGGGGCGGCTTGTACAGTGTTGGCTCGATCCCCACTATCTCATACGCCTCTGGGTGATCTAGCAGCGGCAGCGGCTCAGATCCACCACCCGGGAAATCCTCGGACGGCACGACTAAGTGCTCCCGGTTGGCCGCGTCGTAACCGGTGATGACTACTTCGACCACTGAGTCGTCCTCCTGAGTAATGGTGACTCGCACGCCGACGATGGACTGGGGGTCGCCGCCTGCACAGGATGGGGTGGCGCGGCGCCGTGTTGGTGTGCGTGCGCGCGCCCATATGCGGAGATGTTTGTGCGTATGGGTGCACGCACACGCGCTTGCATGTGTGTGTGTGTAAGAGTGAGTGTGTGTGTGTGTGCGTGTGTGCACGCACACACGTGTGCAGGAGTGCGTCCGGGCAACCGGGGTCGAAACAATCCCTTCGATTGAGCAAGATGCAAGAAGCAGCCGCCCCTGCTGCTGCCGGCGCTGCTGCCGCCATCCCAGCCACTCCACACCGCCAACCGCACCACCGCCCCCGCCCCCCACCCCACCCCCCCGCCTCGCAGCCTGCCGCCTGTCCCCTCTCACCGGGCCCGGGCTTCGACGGCAGCGGCGGCGGGCGCGCGCGCTTTGCAGGGGGCGGCACCGCGCCGGCCTGCAGCGCTGTGAGGCCCTCGTCCAGCTTCGTCTCTTCGATCATGCGCTGTGGCGGTTGCAAACGGTTGCGCGGACGGCCGCCGCGCAGTCGAACTGTTATTATTCAGCGAAGGAGCGCTCTCGCGAGCGCGTCGTGGGGACGGGATGCAGGTGGCATGCAAAGGGAAGGGATGACGGGCCAACAGGCATGCAGTCCCCTGGCGTCGGCCCCTGCGCCGCTTGCGGCGCGGTCGCCGCCTGGCCACACGAGTGGCAGCCTTGGACGGGTGGCCGCTCGCCAGCCGCCGCCCCTTGCCTGCCGCAGCCGGGCAAGGTGTGCCTGCCGCTGCTGCCGCCGCAGCTGCTGCTCGGGGGCCGAGCGCCTGTCGCCGCACCTTGTGCACTTCGTCGCTGATATTCAGCGTTTTCCGCAGGTCCCGCATTGAACTCATATATTTCTGTGTGCGTGGGTGGGCGCACGGTCAGCGTCATGCAATGCGTGCGCCGAGACGGGTCACAGACGGCGCAGCATCGCGCACGGCGTGGTGCTGCTGCTTCCGCTGCGCGCCCTTGTCAGGTGCCGCCCAGCTGCCTATGCCTTAGCCTCCCTGCCCCACACAAGCTGGGCCCGCACGCGAAGAAGATGGTTCCCAATTATTGGAGGCACCCCTGCGGGTGCAAGCGTGCCGCAAACGCGGGGAGCAACAATGCGGCGCATGAGCGCCCGCGGCCTGCACCCGCGTACCCATGATGTGAGCTGATTGCTGGCCACGAGGGCCCGCAGAACGGAGAAGTACGTCTCCTCGTTCTCCATTGTCGTCCCGCACGATGCCCTAGGCGGAGGCCGGCGTCCGCAAGGGCCAAGGACACACAGAGACCGGAGCACTGAAGAGCGCGCTGTTTGATAAGCCGTACCTACAGGAGAGTTCGATACTGCACAGTATGCTTTCCAGCCCGACACGTTTGAAGCCTACCTCCCGCGCTGCTCCCGCGATGACACTGCACCCGCTCACCGGCACTTCACTGTCAGTCTGCACTGCCTTGACACTCCCGTACGATACCTATCTACTCGGTACCGTTTCTATCTTGGTGTTCATCGCCCTTGCGGTATCTCTATACATGTTTGATGACGGCGATCTGCAGTGATCTGCTCGATCCCGCACTGCGTGCGTGTCAACCCAGATTTGATTAACACCATCAAACTTCATTGGATCTGTGCTTCCCTGTGACTCCTGTCCGACGCGTTTGAAGCAACGGGGGCGCGGCGAGCGGCGGCTCGCGCCTGCGCTCGCCCGCCATGGCGCAGCGCCTCAAGAGCCCCACAGACACCCTATTCCTGGGGAACCTCGACACCAGGGTCTCGGAGGCTCTTATTTACGAGCTGTGCATACAGGTAACACGGCTGGTGGGGACTATGTTGGGGCGCTTTGCGGGTTTGCCGGGGTTGGTGGAGTCGGCTGTGCACGCCGCCGCGCCTCTCCCTGCAGTCGCCGCCTTGCGAGGCAACCGCATGTGGCCTTTCATCATCCTCGCAGGCCGGCCCTATCAGCTCGGTCAAGCTCGTGGCGGGCGACGGCAGCAAGCGTGCCTTTGCGTTTGTCAGATTTGAGGCGCTGGTGAGCGCTTGTGGCGCTCTCACCCCTGCTCAGGGCAGGGGCGGCGGGGGCGAGAGCATGCGGGGCGGCTGTCAGGGTTCAGGCTCGCACACACCAACATGCACCCACCCACCCCCTGTCCCCAACACATCCGCACCCACAGCCCCCCTCCCCCCACACACACACTCTCCACACAGGAGGGCGCCATGTTTGCCGCCGGCCTGCTCAGGGGCTCCGTCCGGCTCTTCGACGTCCCACTCAGCGTGAACTTCAGCGAGAAGGGCGACGCGCCCCAGAAGCTGTCGGAAGCGCAGGAGGCGCTCTGGCAGAAGTGCCGCCGCGCGCTAGGCGACCGGCTGGGCGCGCTTGAGCCGGCGCCCGCGGCGCAGGCGGCGGACGGCGGCAGGGGGCGCAGGGACAGGTCGCCAGCGAGGGAGCGGGGGCGGGACCGATCGAGGTCGCCGCGTCGCGATCGCGAGCGCTCACATTTGGACCGCCCGCGGGC